AACTGACCTCTTAAAAACTAGTTCCTTAATTACAGTACCATGTTTCCTAACACACATTAAGATGTTGTTATCCGGTGTGTTTGCACCTTTTGCTACATGTACATGACGATTTTATACAACGCTTTCTGTCTACAAGTTTTGTAGAGTTCCCTCTCGTCTGAACAGGCTGGTATACCATCCATATAAAGATGTTGTTATCCGATGTGTTTGCACTTTGCACCTATTGCGATATGTCCATGACGATTATACAACGTTTCCGTCAACGATTTTTGCAGAGTTCCCTCTCGTCTGAACAGGCCGGTATTCCATCCATCTCCCTGGCCTAAACCCTGAGATGATGGTGTGAAGATGGTGTGAGAAGATGGGAGGAGGGAGAGGGGCTCAGGAGGGATGGGTGACACAGGTGTGCCCTGACATCAACTTGACAAATCTTACAGATTCCATCATGAACCGGTCCCCAGGGAGGAGCATTGCCAGGGAGCGGAACGGGGAAGAAACAACACTGGGGAACAACTGGGAATCCAGACACCAGGGAGAGAATAGGGGAATGAGCAGGGAATACAACTGGCAGAAGCAAACGAGGAGCATACTATGTATACCATGGTGGCAATGAATATTGGACGATCTTCAATGAGAAAGGGAAGGCATGATGTGACGAACAAGAGAAGTTTTGACTACATACAACATGGATGAATAAACCTACAGTGAACAAAAATATGTTTAACCACACCCAAACCACTGATAATATTGATAGCATTGGATCTACATTGTACATGTACATGTAGGAGAATAATGTCTGTTTGGAGCCAGACGGATGTTACTTGTATTGTTTTACACAGAGTTAGCTCCCTTCTGGCTCTGACCAAACGATATCAAAGAGGGAAGATTGTACATCTTACAGCCGATACAGGCTGTGTACTGTGCAAGCCTGCACACCAAACTAAAATGTACATCAATACATTTTGAACACCAATGACAAGAAATATTGAATTGTTCAACTTCCTGGGGCAGTGCTGTAGGGCGATCAAAGCCTGTAATAAGTTATTTGTATGGAAGCAGAAAAATAGGTTTAACAAAATACCAAAAATGTGAAATAAATCAGACCAATATTAAGAAAGTTATGAATGTTTGAAATACAAGATTAATTTCTATAAAGTCTCTATGCGGAACTCAAATTGGCAGTATGGTCAGGACAGTACATTGTGACGTGGTCGACGATCCTGTTTATCACATACACATATATCATTAATTTCTGTTTTTCTCCTAAGTGCCCTCTCCCTTGGGGCACTACTCTACTTTCTCATTTTTTGGTCTAATTTCATTCCTGCTTTCGACAGTCTACTTCCCTGATATTTCTGCTTTCCTCTAGAAAAGTTTGCTATCAAGGTTGGATTTCCCTTCATACACCTGTATGCCTGCAGAGAAGAACCATCTTGGCACAAATACATGTTCATGTACATGTACATGTACACCCTCACACCCACCTGGGGGCGTGTCTGGGGGCGTGTGTGGAAGAAAGAAAAACAACCTGCGGATATCAGAGTGACTGACACTGGCATGTGCTTGAACCCCCCAGACGGGAGGGGGTGCTCTCAATTCTGACAGCGTAACCCTCGAGCCGATAGCAGCCGCTTTAATATACAGGGGTTGCAAAGTTCTAAGTCATTTGTAGAAACATAGCATATGTGTGTCCCTTTGTGAAAGACAAGGGGAAATTAAATAAATAATTGGTATCAATTAGGTTTAATGTAAAAAAATTAAGGATGGAAAAAGTACTCTCGTTAAAATGAGGAAAATATGAGGAAAATATAATAAGGGATATAAAGACATGTGTGTGGATTATGATGTTTGAAAGTCATCATTGATCAAATTTACATCGGGAACGCTTTTCATATTTTCTTCAACCTTTGACCTATCTGTTTTTCTCATTTTTCTGCTTTCAATATCAACTTGATAATGATATCATGGAAGACTGGACCAAAATCCCTGGTCCTTCATTTTCCATCGCAACAATCAATAATTAATACTAAGCTGTAATCTATACGTCTACAGTTGTACATACATGTAATGGTTGCAAAAGTACATTACAGATTCTGCATCTGGCATTTAATTTCCATTTATCTCCTGGATGCAATTAATGGTGGGCTTTAAACACACAGCTAGAATTGATTGGAGCAAGTGCTCTAATGGTATTTGATAATGGCACGATAACAGGGCAGCTGGGATGGTGTGAGCAATTACTCCATCTACTACAGCCTTCATCATTAAATCTATCTGACAGAGCCGTGCCTGGTCAGATTAATTTACAAGATATACATTGTGTAATACTGTTCAACTGGATCTAATCAAAGTTATTCTTTTCAAAAAAAAATTCTCTAATTTCTTTATTTATTAATTTATTTATTTTTTTGGGGGGAGGGGGGGGGGGAGGGGGGTTCGATTTCTCTACTATTGCAGGACTGTTTTGAAGCACACCTTTTGGTTGTGATTAAAAATCTGAAGCTTCGGCAATTCAGTTGAGATAGTAACTGGTAAAACGTTAAAAACAAATTCCATTTTTATTTTTTAAGAGGGGGAGGGAGGGGGGGGGGGGGGGGGGAGGGGCTCATAAAAGGGGTAATTTTCTCCAAGGCTTTACAGAGCAAAATCGAGCTTTACAATTCAATGGCAGTAGACAGAGAATGAGAAGAAGAGACAGGTAAAGAGAGTAAGAGAGAGAAAGAGAGAGTAATGGAGAGAGAGAGAGAGAGAAAGAGAGGGGAAGTTTAATATTAAATATCAGAGAGGCATGTATCAATATATGGCCAAAAAAAAAAAAAAACATGTTTAGCGTCCTGTTTTTTCGAAAAAAAAGGAAGGAGGCGGCCCTTTTTTTTTGTTTTTCTTTCTTTCAAAATGGCCGCTCAAAATGGCTGCTCGGTAAATTTTCCGACAGTCGGGCTATTTTTCAAGATGGCCGCCGACATTTTATTTTTTTAATTTTTTTAAAATCAGAAATAGATCCATTTTAGCAGTGTTTTTCATGTTTTTTTTCTTTAAAAAAAAAATAATAAAAAAAAAAAAAAAAAAAAAAAAAAAAAAAATTCAAAATTTCAAAAAAAAAAAAAAAAAAAAAAAAAAAATAGGAGGCGGCCTCCAAAAATGAAGGGAACGCTAAACATGTATATTTTTTTTAATGGCCTATAATGAGAAGATATGCATAAATGAACCTGGTTTCAAGCAATACCCTGTTACTCTTCCTAAAATGTATGAATTCAGACACTTCCAAGTAGTTACTACAGTGTAAATAAAGAAAGCTATCACACACAAGAGACTGAGGGCAGCTGCAACTAGAAGGTGAGCCCCCCCCCCCCCCCACCCTTCTAATGAGGCATTGAAAGCAGAATTAAACAATAGCTATGTTCATGTGGGACTGTTGTAGCCTTAAATTAACAGTTTATGAACCCTCAAAGTTATAAATAACGATCCACTAACAACGAGGAGGGTCCACAGAGGACTGAAGCAACGAGTAATGAGAGTTTCACACTACAAGCCAGGAGAGTATTCAGTTTAAAGGTAAAGACCAGTATTGGAAACGCCCCAGTTTCAAAAAATGAAATGGAAGCCAACCATGTGAAAGAGTATGTTTTGACTAATACATGATAAAAATGTTGCCGGGGAAACTGCCTACTAATCTATTGGTACGTGAGAGATAAACGCACGTGTCGCGCACGTGTGGGTAGTCCCATATACATCTTTCCCATATACATCTTTTTTTACGATGACTGGGCCAAATTTCTTATCATTTTGATGATTCCAGAACCTTGCAGTACACACCATTACTTATATGCTAGATGATCAACCTTTTCTGATCGATTCCACAACGTTTCTTTCACAATGCAATCGCATGACCAGAACTGGTCTATATCTTTAAAGTTAACAGAAAGTCGTGTGAACCTAACCATTGTACCCAGAACAAACTTTGATGATGTCCAGGGTCTAATGTAGGGAGAGTGACTCATAATCCGATGTGTTTTACAAAGTAGGACAGACAGGTAGCGTGCAGGAAGGGGAAAATAATTTCACCAGACATGCAGGATCTGATCAGATCGGAGCAATGAAAAGGTTCAAACTCAAACAGATACATAACATGTACTTTGTTCCTTTTGGTTTGGAACAATCAATATAGACCGTTGACTGATAAAGCGTTAAAGCGGGACTGCACTACCTATAGCTTCTTGCGCCCTCTATATAGCCAACCATGCCTATAAGTGGTACCCGTTGATGCTCATGGTCCCCTTTTTCCTATGTTTATTGAGAGTTGATTTGATAAGATAACCACCTGCCAGTGACCACGCAGGTAGGTCTAATCCCTTCGGGCCAAACTAGTGCAGAAAGGCTTTAAACTTTTATTGTCTGATTACATTTTAATTTACATGTACATTCATATTTGGATAATGATCGAGAGATTACAATCATGCAATTATTTCTCTGTTATTTCTATTCCTGTCTGTGATTAATTTCAAAGGTAAATACCAATATACATGTATGTTCATTGTAAAATGCTGATCAGAAATTACTCAAGTGTTTTCCTGATCAGGGAGGTGTAAAAACATGTTGTGTTGTGTTGAATACATAGGCCCAAACTCAAAATCAATCATTTATTGTGGATAGCCAAAAAGGCTATCCCCAAGACAAACTATAAAGCTTTGGCCAATAGATCAAACCAAATGTTCGAAAATTGGTTGGTTTGGAATCGGATCGGAGTCTGTTCAGCAGTGACCGAGGTATTAATAATTACTTGCATTCAACTATAGTTTACATGTAGGTCTTAACCATCCAGGGAAAAAAATTACACAGGGGCTCAGGGCAAATTAGCCCCCGAAAGTCATACAGAACCTCCCAAAATTGGCTAAAGTTCAATGCAAAACAAACTTAAGTAGCTTGAAAAGTAGCCCCAGAAATGTTTAGTTCATATCTTTTTCCCTGTAACCATCTTTAAAAAATTAGTCTATCCTTACCAAAGAAATTGAAGATGATTCCGAAGATGAAGCTGATACCACACACCACTGCCGTAGGGACGTTATACCGGTAGTTCATCGCCCCGCACTCCGGCGCAGGCACCGTGGGGTAGAACGAGGAGGGGATGATGGGTCCCCCTGAGGAGTTCATTAGATCTACCGGTGTCTGCATGTCGGAGCGGTCGTAATAATCCTCCCAGAATGATGAGTCTGAGGACTGGGTAACCATAGGATCCATCTCTAATCAGCGGATGGGGATGTGATGAGGAGGGGTAATGGAAAGGGGTGTGGCCAGGACCAGGCGATGCCTTGGTAGGGGTGTGCCTACAGATCAGGTTGGTCTGTGTTTGACTGCTTCATTCTGTGAGGAGAACAACGATGGAAAAGAAAAATGAAGACTGTAAATTTGAAAATTTGAAGAAGAAAAAATGTTAGGCATGATGCATCCTACTTTTGACCTTTGATTTTTAATGTAAACAAATTTGCCAGATGTGCCTTATACATACCGGTACTGATCGTATGTAGTTCACTGTACAAAGGATATTTACAATCATACATCATGTAGAAAATCTTTCCTCAAATCCTTTTCAGTTCCTCTTTCTTCAGATTGAAACTCATTTTTAAGAGCAAAGATTAAAATGTTTTTTATTTGGAGATGCCAAATTGAAAAATCTAAAAATACAACGTACATGTGTGCATGCATGGGTTCATTTTTATCATTTTTACACAATTGTTTATTTTATTGAATCAGGAGCGCCAGGAGTGTCAAGTCTAAACAGATATGAGCGCTATACAAAATTCGAAACACTTCACAGGACGTATAACTTGTGACAAATACCGACAGAGTGTCTCAGAATAAACTATTTTTACCTCTTTGTACCTCCCACAGCAACAAATTACACTTGAAACATGACAGCATGCAGGCAATGTTTGATATAAATAGACACTCCTTCATATACTCATGAGCAATTGTAGGCCTACAATGCACAATGTATGTATGAAAGGATGTTGCAAACAAGCGCTACAATGCCTATCATCAGCCTATGAAGGGAGGTGTTATTGATCTGCTTACAAACGCTCCAATGAAAATCAATTTGATGACAATAGGGATGTAGGGATTAGGTCTAGATGTGAAGGCCATCTAGGATCTCCAAGATGTCCCGTGTGTATTGTTGTACATGCTGCATATGAATATGCCAAACATCATCACAAGGAGACTCCTGTAACATAAAGGATGTCTGAGGAAATGGAACGTGTATCATTAAATATTTCCTCCTTTTTCCTTCGAACTGAAAGGTTCCCATTTATAAACATGTCATCCAAGGGAATCTCCATGTTTGTGTGCTTGTTTGTGAGTTTACCTTTTCAATGAATGGTGGGGGACGGATAATCTGGAAAATTATTCTACCAGAACATGGATATTGTTGATAATAGAGTTAATTAGAATCATTCGGCATCAAAGGTTTGTTTGTTTGTTTAACAATAAAGGCGTTTTCAATTAATTTAACGTGTATCATTAAATATTTCCCCCCTTTTTCCTTAAAACTGAAAAGGCTCCCATAAACTTTCAAGGGAATCTCCATGTTTGTGTGCTTGTCTGTTAGTTTGCTTTTTCAATGAATGGCGGGGTAAAAGTATTCTACCAGAACATGGATATTGTTGATACACATAGAGTAAATAAGAATCATTCAGCATTAAAAGGTTTTTTTGTTTGTTTAACAATGAAGGTGTTTTCAATACAAATTGGAAAGTATCAACAAAGTATTGTCAGGCTCTGACAGATTTAAAATCAGACATTATCTTTACTTCTCTATTATCACATTAGCTTGTCATATACATCCGTACAGGTAGATGTATATTGTGCATACATTTTCTAATCAAATCTGTCAATGAAATCTATTAGGCATACGGTACTTGTAGTTGCAGTTTCTAAAGTGCAATCTTCTTTTTAAATTTCTCTATCTCTCTCTCCAGGTCCAGGGGGGGGGGGGGGGGGTTTTCTGGCATAATTTGAACTTTCTTTCTCCTCGGAAGAACTCATGGTGACCTTAAACTCAGACATACTTGTGTCTCCTAGCAAGATGCCAACTAACCAGAGACAGACATTCTGTGGTTAGGGTTTCTGACTAGCATACATCCATAATCAATTTGGCCAATGTTACTCCATTCAACCCAAAGATGGACAAAGGGCAAAAACAACATATAAGTTACTCTCTACCAATTTATGAAACATGAGTTAAAGGTAAAGTAAAGATAAATAAAATACTTTTTTGCCAAATGTCATTTCCAGCAATTCTTTTTTCTTTGTGTAAGCCCTATATATATTTGATGTGTCCTAATAGTGCATCAACTGCATGAAAAATTCCCTGATACCGATTAATACTGATGAATACTTTTTGGGGGAGGGGTGCTATGATTAAAAGCGATCCAATGAAGAGTTTGAGATATTAAGATACATTTAACTACTGAAGAAATACTCTCCACCCCCCCCCCAAAAAAAAAATAAATAAATAAATAAAAAAATTATAATAATAAAAGTAATGGCTCGTGTTTAAAAAAACAAGGAAACAGGAAACTCAGGAAACAAAGAAATAGGCCAACATAAATAAGGGCAAATTTAGATTTTGGCACACCGACTAATAGACTCTTTTGTTTGAAACAGTTTTGCCCATCAGCATAGAAACATTTAGGCCACAACATTTATTGTTACTTAAGAATATTTAAAAACAGTTCATCTTACACAAATATATCTCCAAATGCAGACTGTCAATGACAAATTCCTTGAACAATAACATTACAGCAGTACAAACCTTCATATCCATTGATGCATACAGTATTATTCCATCTCAATAATAATCCACCAGTTGCAAGCAGAAAAATAGGAATTTCCAGGCATTCGCTATAGCACAAACAAGATATGAATTCTCATGAAAACCATCCATACACACTGAAAGCTTTCCAAAATATATTCATCCAATAGTTTAGATCAATAATATATATTCAAGAACTATAGCATTCAGCTGTGCAAGAGATATCACAATAGTTACATCATTTATCTCCTAAAAGAGAATTCCAAAGAGTGTCCTACATAATACTAGAAGTATTTTATCCAGCTCTGGAGATTTTGCTAGAGGCAAAAATAGAATTCACAAACATGTCTTTTCTGAGGAGAGACACAAAGAGCTTCCAAGCATTTAATATATCCAACTCGGGAGAGATTCCTCAATGCAAAAGTTGGCTGTGTAAAACTAGAAGTAGAATTCAAAACCGTGTGTTGCATGCAGTAGCTCTCGAGAGTCGAGGGAGAGGAATGAATGAATGACGAAGCCGAGGATAGGATAATACGGCGAGCTCTGTCCCCAGCTGCTGAGTAAGCCAGTAATGACGAGATTCAATTTGGTTGTTTCCTCTCCCACGGCAGTCAACAGTCAGACGTTGACAGACGCAGGGATGGATGCACACACACACACACGGACGGACGCACGGCTCATTGATAGGAATGCGCACACGCATGCATCGTCATTCATTGTGAGCTCATGGCTATGACAGTCACTGTTTAAATAGCCGCATGAGGGATTCCTTGAAGTGATCAATGAGCTATAATTAAAGCTACATCAGTCTGTATGTGAACCCTTATCAGCAAACCTTGCACATGCAGTAGTATGTGCTTAATAATTGAGGTTTCAGCACATTCACTATTAGGAACTTTTAGATTTGCGTGGACTGATACGTTTGACGTCCACTCAAGGCAGTGCATTAAAAGGACGTCGATCATAGCAATCCACGTTCTCGTTTTGCAAATCTAAAAGTCCCTATTAAACATACACATGTACACCACAAATCGAAGTCCTGTAACATTCAGTTCAATTTTGTTTTGTTTTGGTTTGGGGAGTGGGGGGGGGGGGGATCTGCTTTTTTTTAAATGTCTATATCTCTCTCTTTCCTTTTTTTCCAGAGGGGGGGGGGGACTCCCCTAACCCCAAAAATAGTACCAGTCAGTAATATCATCTGACATGCATGTCTTAATTTACAGAATAGGCGAAATGGGAGGAAAGAAAATGATAAAGTAGAGAGAGAGAGAGAGACAGAGAGAGACAGAGAGACAGAGAGAGACAGAGAGACAGAGAGAGACAGAGAGAGAGAGAGAGAGAGAGAGAGAGAGAGGGAGAGAGACAGAGAGAGAGAGAGAGAGAGATGGAGATAGTTATGAGAGGAAGATAGAGGCAGAAAGACAGAAAGGACAGAAGGAGGTACATGAGAAGAAGGAGAAAAAGATACATGCGTATATTAAAAGACAGGAGACAATAGACTGGAAAAAGAGAGACCAAGACAGAAAGAGTGAGTCTGAACCAAGCAGACAGACAGAAGGGGTGGTGGTACGGTCACAGAGGGAGAGAGAGAGAGAGAGAGACAGACAGAGAGAGAGGGGGGGGGGCACCAGGGAGGAATGAGGACGAGGATCTATTTTAGGAGATGAGATCATGCATCAGGTATCTATCCGGTGACAGGGATATTCCTCTTGCTTGCCTGTCTGCCTCATATGAATATGATTTTTCTATCACTATATATACCTAATGGATTCATATACATCATAAACAAACTTTGACATTTCATATTTTTGTTTCAAATACTTAAGGGTACTGCCCCCCCCCCCCCCAAAAAAAAAAAAAAAAATTAACAAAAAAACTTTTCAATTATCTGAAAAACTTGCGTGACTACAGCAAAAGTCTTCTATGCTGTTATGCACTTCCCATATTTTGGTGAGGCACTTTTTTTACATTGAACTGCTATGCAAGAGATTTTTTTGTTGATAATATCTATGTGACAATAGTTTGATGAAATACAAATTACTAAACTGAAGCCACTCCAACATGTATCAATCACAGAGTCCTTATTCTGGAAGCCGAGATATTTGATGCAAAGATTCTATAATTATCATGAAAAATATAAAGAAAATTAAGAAAGGAATTTATTTTCAAAAAGTCAGAGAAGAGGCATATAGCTGGCGCAGAAAAAAATAGCAGTATGCGTAAAAGCTGACATGCAATTTGAACGATTTGAGACTCCCTAAGCCTCGTGAAATAGATCTCTGAAGTGTACTAGAGCCGATTGGGGCTTCCAATCTCCTGCCGCAATCCAACATATTCCGTTCTAATGATGCTGGAAATCCTTAGGTATCTCATTCTAATTCCCGGTACTAAATAGCTTCACGAGGGCCTGTCATCATTAGCCCAAGATTTCAAAATGGTCTGCAAACTTTGAGGAATCTCAAGCTCAAGCTAATTCCTTGAGATTGCAGGGATTTCTGGACTCAGAGCTAATGGGTACTGGGAATTCCAAACAACATGAATACAGGACTTT